TAATCACGTATACACACACACGCACGCATACACACCGCGACAACACGCCGTAACGCACACACACAGACACCCGCACGCACACACACACACACATAATCACACACACACGCACACACACACACTGTGACGAACTAACACACCATAGCGCACAGACACGCACGCACACACACACACAATCACATACACGCAAACAGACACACACACGCGCGCGCGCATAATCACACACACGCACATACACACCGTGACGAACAATCACACCGTAACGTACACGCACACAATCACACACAAACTGATACTGGTTCGGTTTTGCAATCTATATTTGTATAAGGTACTATTTAGGCAGAATCCAATCGCTTCGAACCCTGATTATAAGAGGAACTTTATTGCACAACAACTGTACATTACAACTGTGTCATCACCCATCTGTTTATTTTCTGCTAACATTGCTAATGTTTTATCTGAAATTGCCAGCAGTCATTGTGATCACCATGCATCTTTCTGGATGTTTGTAATCGCGCATTTCTTTTTCTTTCTGTTTCATCGTTCGTTTTATTTCTTCAGACTGATACAGAACTCAAAGACCTACAACATCTGGCGGCACGAGTTCAACATACTTCAGGCTCACGCAAACGAAATCGTCGCCAAAGTCTCGTCCTCAGCCGTTCTCGTTGATCTCGGCAGCGGAGGGTCCTCCAAAACGCGCCTGGTTATCGACGCTATACTGAAGCGACGCGGAAGACTCACGTTTGTGCCTGTAGACATGGCGAAGGGTAAGAGAACTACTAGTTATTAAAGAGCCACGTTACATTCAGAACCTTTTCCCGAACACCAGCCGATCAAATTCGATTCAATAGGATAGAATGGTAGGCGTCAGAATACTCCTTAACTTCAGTCAACAATGGTTGGCCAGTGTTTGAAGGCAATGTCTGGATAAGTTTCTGGGTGTGCGAAGGGCGCCCTTTACGCACGCTACTCGAAAAGGTTACAGTCTCACAACTGATTTGATTTATTGCTACCATTATGATTTGTCAAATGTAGGGGGAAGATCCCGGACAAAGCATGAAGGCCTTTTATGACCCCGCCCACATGTCAACGTTATGCCCATGCTCATTTTACTATACTGCTCATGCTCTTTTACTACTTGCTCAATCTGATTACTAGTATGCAAATAAAAACAAACAAATAAACAAATTGTTACAGCAATAACTGCATTTCCTCACCCATGTACATCCAGTCTGTATGTTTCACATGCACACGTACAGAGTTTATCGAGTCCTGCGGCCGGCAGCTGGAGAGGGACTACCCCGGCCTGACCGTGGAGCCGTTCGGCGGGTTGTACATGGACGGTGTGCGGCACGCCGCCGCCCGGGAGGAGGCAAAGTTGTTCCTGTTCCTCGGCAGCAGTTTCAGTAACATCCCGCTCCGTGAGCAGGGGAAGATGCTACAAGAGATCCGGGTAAACCTGAAGGGTATGCACCCTGCTTTCTTTAACATGTTCTGAAGACATGCTCCACGTTATTTGCTTCATGTCAATGTAAGCTATCGCAAACAGTATTTAATTATGTAATCTGCTTTTATATTCTGTTTGTTGTGTTTGGGAGGACAACTCGTAAAGGTGTCAATGCACCTGTTTTGTCCTCCCTTCCACTTGTATATCTTGTGGTGAATTCAAATAAACAAATAAACAAACATATAAACAGTGTAACATGAGCCTCAGCCTCTAGTTTTTAAATTGTTAATAACGATTTGTGTGTTCATTGTTGATGTTTTGATATATTTATGTCTTTTAAATGTATTCACTGAATTTTCCATGTATGATTATGTAATTCTAATGTTTGAGCCTTGGAAGATTAGCCCTGCAGAGCTAAAAGGCTTCAAAATAAATGAAATAAGTAAATTGTTTTCTTGCTGTATTTATTGAGAATGTATGTATGTAATTATAAGTGTTCATTAATGTACCAAATGACACATGAAAAGCAGGCCATAGCACTGGGTGTGATCTACTGGTAAAATAAATGTGAAAAAAAAATAACTGAGACCTTCTTCCTTTACTGTAGCTGCTGACAGGTTTGTGCTGGGGCTGGACATGAACACAGACCGGGAGACCTTGTTACAGGCGTACGGGAAACAGTGGGCACCGATATGGCGAGACAACCTCATCAACCGTTTCAATAAGGTAACTTGTTAAGAGTTAAAACTATGATCCAACACAAAAAATTCTCTCACCTAGAGGTTTCGACCATCACCCTTCATTGAACCGCGACTGGGGCCGATATCGTCTACCAGATACCTTTGACCCAGAAATGACGTCACACTTCAAAGAAGCCACGTGGCAAGCTTCACTGGGTCAGTCTACTGAGGAAGACCAGAATGACTGGTCGAAAGCTCTAAGTGAGAGAACTTTTGTGTTGGACCAAAAGTTTTAACTACCAGTACAGATGAACTTTCATGATAGAATAAGGTAACTTGCATTCTGAAACGTGGTCCATTGTTGTATTCA